CCTAGTTTTTACGTTTTTATTTCTATTTCTACTATTACTGTGCTATTTAGTAAAAAAAAAAAAAAAAAATACATTTATTTGTCAAAAATTCTAACTCTTCTTTAATATGTTCCAATATTAATAATACCAAATCTTTACTTAATCTAAATCGCATTTTAAATTTAACGTCATCTAATGTTTCAAAATAATTAACTCGCTGTTTAAATCTTTTTCTTCTTCGTTCAAATTGTTCAATATTCTTATCATCGGAATCTGAGGATCACAAAAGATTAAAATACGCCATCGTATCGACAAAATAATAATTATTATTTTTCACAATTATTTTTAACGTATCTGTAACGTGTCAAGCACTGTCGATGAGTGTTGAGTTTGAGTTTTGACAAGATGTTATCCAATAAAGGTCAGGATACATATTTGATAATATTATCATATTATATTCTTATAATATTATCATATATAAAAATAAAAAAAAAATAAAATAAAAATAGATTATTGCTAGTAACATTTCTTAAAAACGGCGTTTAATTACTTTGAACGGTCGAGATCGACCGTTTAATTTAAACTCGGTTTACAGATATTTAAACGCCGTTAAATAATTGGTAGAAACTAATATTCAAGTTAAGTTGAGATAACCGAATGTCACTAGGGCCGATATTCATAGTCCGTTCTTATATTCAAGATCGTCTTAAGCACGAACTTATATTCGCTCTCTTCGTCAGACACAATCTATGTGTGACGAAGAGAGCGAATATAAGTCCGTGCTTAAGACGATTTTGAATATAAGAACGGACTATGAATACCGCCCTAGGGTTAAATTTCTTAAACCACGTTGATTGAAACGGCCCTATATATGCGCGACCTCTATATCATACTATTGGCATACTTGTGCTCGGTTCTATCGACACAATTTATTGTAGAAATTAATCCCTAATAACATTTGGTTAACTTTAGATTAAGTAAGGTTGGTAGAAACGGACGAAAAACGAACCAATCCGCCTTAGTTTTCAATCTACCTTAGTTTTCTTCAACTCCGAGAGAGGTCTTTGCAGTTTCTTAAAATTATTTGTTATTTGTTCCCATCAGTTTCCATTTGTTCCTTTCATTGATAATCTATTGGGATTTATACATTGAGGAAGAATTGTCAGTTGTGTTGCTGTAACAACATTGAGTAAAAAAGAGATAAATCATAAAGAAAAAGGTACAGTATTGCAACGATTCATAATCAATTTCTATCTTTGTATTATTTAAAATTAATTATTTAAATTTAAATTTTTTAGTATTATTATGACCCGTAAATGTGCATTGTGCAAAGAGACCAATTACAAGAAGAACAATTGTAGTTTTTTCTCAGCACCTAAGGATGCAGAAACGCGCAAAAAGTGGCAAATAGCTCTTAAAACTTATACTGTCACAGATGACACATATGTATGCAGCAGACATTTTCACAAGAATGATATTATTACACATTGGGTCAGTGGAGTACCACCGCAAGTGATAAAGGTAAACATATTTAATGGTTACAATAATTATAGTAATAAGATAATACACATGCGATCATTAATATTATTGAAGATTATATTTATCGTTATAGATTAAATACAAGAAATGTCGATTGCGTCCAGGAGCGGTACCAGGTAGAAATTTGCATTTAGTTAGTAACTTGCAATCGGTAGATAAAGATACCTTGGATAGATGCAAAGTGGTTACTAAGAATTTGTCTACATTCAAAAAGAAACAAGCATCGAAAGAAAATAAGACTATTTTGTCATCTGAAAGCGAGAATAATCTGAATGATAATGAAGACGTGTGTATCAAAGCTACTAATGTATATTATCGCATTCACTCCGAACCGCAAGAAGAAAGTGATGAATCTAAGAATATCAGAATATTGGGAGATATAAGTGTCTCTAGGCATAGTTCACAGTTGAAGAAATCAAGATCTGTGAAGAAGGAACCGATTGAAATACTTGAATATAATAATAATCCTGCTAATGAAACAGTAGAAAGTAGCATCAAGAAGTATAATTCTTCCAAGAAATATTCTGCACATTTTTACCTCAAAAATAAAGCTGTAAATAATGCTTTGAAGATGAATGACTTAAAAACGATAAGTAAAATTAACGAAAATGAGATATTATTTGAAGATTTTCTTGAAGTGTACACTGAAGTATCTATACCACGTGGTTGGTCCTGTTTAGTGACATCGAAAGGACATGGCACTACAGTAGTATATCTTTATATGAGTGTAACGACGGATGGATTACCTTTTGTAGAGAAACAAGTTTTCATAAAAAGTGACATGATATTACGTTATGCTGTAGCTAATAGAGAAATCGATCCACTCATGCACAATCTTGTGACAGAAAGGAAATTTACCAAAGTGAGAAATTTAGTGGATGTAGAAATACTTATTGACGAGTTTAATCAACGAGTGGTTTGTCAAGGTATAAGTACAATTATTTATTTGTCCTCTGTTCAGCTAAATTATTTTTTTTTTTTCCTAAAATAGGTATATACAATCCTGTGGACCATGAAGACATCGATATAATTAAAGTTGTACACAAAGATGGAATCAAATGGCGACATATTTTTTGTCCATTGATCATGAATAACGATTCATCAAGATGTACAAAATGCACTATATTGTCTCGCATGTTACTGCTACAAAAATCTTGAAAATAATTCCTTTCACATTAGGATTTTAAATTTAAGTCGACTGAAAAATATACAGGGTGATTCGTAAATGCACAGCGATACTTTATAAACCTAAACCTAAACGACTTAGAAATAAACTTTGAATCGATATAACTAAGAAACGTATTTAGTCCTCAAGTATAAGAGACAATTTTTTATGACTTAGATATTTATCAAAGAATTGTATTATTAGTATAAGTAAACGTTAGGTCAAAATGTATTTTGGCATAAATTATAGCGAAAGGCAAATGCTATAAATATTTTTTTCAACTTGTAACTTGAAGAATTCAATTAGAAATATATAATACATTTTTTTTATACTTTGGATTTTTTCCAAGTATTGTTACGCATTTGTAAATCATCTTATATATCTTGCGACGAACACAAAAATACATAAGAGAATGTGATCATCGATATAAATGCATGGACATTTATGCTCGACATATATTAAATATATTAGCATTTCGACAAAAATTTTTTATTGCATTTACAATACTGAAATTGCGCAGGTGTTTAATGAGATAAACGTTGCCTACGCAAATGATTGTCCAACTGTGCTAACTGTCGAAGAAAACCATTATTTGGATGGACATCACGATTTGTGCGCACCAAGTACATAGCATCAACTGCTAACATGTTTTTCTTTATCATTAAATAAGCGAGAACACATGTAGCACTACGAGATACTCCCTGCAGGCAATGTACGAAAACTTTACCTAAGAGAAAAATTTTTTTAATTTTTAATTTCTGTGAATTGAATTATTTAAACATAACAAATGTAAAAATACATATATTTAAATTACCTCCTGTAGATATTGCTTCATCAATAAAGTTGGCTGCCACATCAAAATATTTACTAATATTTATGCTGGGTAAATCCATAACTGTTAAGCCGAGATATTTTATTGGTGTATCTCTGTAATAATTGCTGTCTGTATTTACAAATCCACATCTTCTTCCCTCTGCAGCATTTAATAAATGTGTTATACCTAACATTTTAAGATACTCCTTGTTTCTTGCTGTAGTACTGTATTAAAAAAAAAAGTTTAAGATTTAGAATGAATAAAATAGAAATAATAAAACTTTTTTATTAGTTTTATTAGGTTTTGTTTCAATTTCATCATTAATTTTGCTTTTTATGATATATTTGCTCTAGTACTCACCCATCACCAATATATATTCCAGGATATACTTCGTCACAATCAATTTCTTGCTGAGCACGATAATGTTGCAAGTTATCAAGATTAGAATTAAATCCAGGTAATGGTTTAAATTCAAGACATTTTGTTGCCGAAATGGCTAATGTTAATTGATGTTCTGTAGTTTCTCCATCTGGCAATGATGTCTAAAAGTTCAGGGTTAATAAAATAATATAGAAATAATAACAATAAATTTTAACAAATGTTTGGAATACTAATATTCTTATAGAGTTTAATAAATGTATATTTATTTAATAGTTTTTTCTCCGTAAAAAAATTTTTGAAAAGTAAAAATATCGTTCGAGAAATTTATTGTTGATTTGCAATATGTAACGCGTGTAACATCATATCAGGCGTCATAAAATCACAAACATTTGATTGTAATATGTAAAATTACTTACATAATATTTTCTCTCCATGTATATGGATTATATTTATATCACTTGTATACAACAAACATGTAGCAGTCGGAAGCAATGTTTATCACTTGTCTATATGTATGTCTAGATCGTTTTTACCATTATTAAATTCTGACTTATAATTCTGAAATTTAGATATACATTAAATTTAGAGTGTGGAAGGTTTCATAAAAGCGTGATATATTTTTTTAATTGGCGTGAAATATAAATATAAAGGCCGACGCTTACAACATAACCTGACATACATTATCCGAATCTAATTCACACTTTTATTAAGCTATCCTCTTTTAAGATTCTTAATCACTCAGTGTATATGATACAATGTAAGTTTAAGTATACACATGTATGTACGACCGCAGTGTGTGAGTTCAGGTTCGTGAATGTACTGAGCTCAAATAACCGTGTGATTCAGTCATCCTTGCGGGAGATTATATTTTTACATGTACTATTTTCAGTACCGTCTTGTCAATCTGATGCATAAACTAATATACTCCACTACCAGTATTGCGCCGTATTTCTATTAATGTCTTTATAGTTTAAGCCAGCATTAATAAAAACAATCACAATGTGACGTTTAGATTATATATATAAATTACCGCGTTCAAACTCACATTAATCTTTTTCCGCTTCACCCCGAACTTGTTCGAACCCCAACTCCAATGAATAGAACGTCGGAAAAGGTGGATCGTTTCAAAGAAGTTGTGAAAACTTGAGAACTTTTTTTCATTTTCCTAAAACATTTATTTAATAATCTTGTGTACATTATGTACAAAGCGGAACAAGAAGTAATAACCCGTTGTAATTTTCCAATCTATAGTAGATTCATACGATACAAATACATATGCACCGCACAGATTTACAGTTATTTTGTCTCGTATAAAAAAATTTATTTTAATATTTTTATTTATTTTTTTATAGAAAATTATCCCATTTATATGGATTACACTTACTGCCGCATCCTCTATGTTTTTATTTATAAGAGAAAATGGAAATGTATAACTATTCTATATGTAATTGTTCGATTGCAATGATAAAAAACACGAGTAAGGAAAGAAAAAAGGGAAATTGGAGAGAAGGTGGAAGATGGTGCGACAAAAGAAAAGGGACAAATAAAGACAGGGAAGAATATAAGAAATGGGTAAGAGAAGAGTCGACAAAAGGAAGAAGGTGGGAGAGAAGAGAGAGTCGCGATCGCAGAGCTCGATAGTCTTTCTCATTACACATCTATCGAATAGTACCATTTTATCCGGGAATGGCAGTAATTGTCGTTTAAACCAAAATAATTAATATTCTAATAATAATCACAAAGTAAAATATCCATATGATATAGATTTTTATATTGTTTCTTGCACATCATCCGCAGCAGTATTAATAATACGATCTTCGTTTTCGCGTAATTTGTGACGTCCCAGATAACATTGACATTTTCTTATTAATTGCGGTATAACAATATTGTTGTAACATGCCATACCGATTAAAAGAATTATAAAACCAATAAGCTGTAACAAAAAATGAACTTTATGTTTGTGTTTTTTATATAATTATTATTTTTTTAATTATACCTGCATATAATGAAAAGTTTGCCATTGAAATCCTAAAGAAAAGGCCCATATTACAATTGTACGAACACTGTCTAAAATCATTCTCGTCGTAGCACTCATTTCCTTAGTAACACTAATGCCAGCAAAATTAAAAAAAGCAATACTAAATGATATACCTGCAATATCAAATTATAACGTGTGTATAATAGCGGAAAGGCACTTATCGCGACAAAAGAAGTTGAAAAGAAAAGTGATAGACTGACCAATAACAGCGATCAACAATTTAGAGCTGCTCCCAATTTGGATAAGTGCTTCATCAGTAGCTTCGAGTGTACCACGTGAATTGTCCGCAAAAGGCGGTGGTGCTGCGATATAATTGAGAGGGATCATAGCAACAGAGATACCGATAAATCCAAAAATGCCTGCAAAAATATATTAACAAGAATCAATATGTTTTGAGACATTAAATTTTGATTTTTTTTAAATAAGTTTTTAACAAATTTTATGGATGTTCTATTTTAAATAAAAACCTAAAATATCTCAGAATTGAATGGAGAATAAAGAAAAATCAGACAAATGTTGTAGGACTTGAAGAGTGAGAAAAAAAGAGTAATGTTGATTTGATCCCTGGAGACACGTCAAGATTATCTTGAATTTTCTTAATGAGAACCTTCATTTTTTTTATTATATATTCTTGTAAATTAATATCGAAAAATTTTGAAAATGATCTAATGTTAAAGATATATTTCTCTCTCTCTCTCTCTCTCTCTCTCTCTCTCTCTCTCTCTCTCTCTCTCTCTCTCTCTCTCTCTCTCTCTCTCTTCTCACTTCAAGCCTCACATCTTTCTTCCGAAACATTATTTTGTAATTTCCATCAACTTGTGAAATATTTTAGGTTGTCATTTAAAATGAGACGTTCTACAAACGAATGTAATATATCAACCTTCCCATCCAATGGCCTGTAATGCAGGAATATCCTGCTCACCCACATATTTTTCTTCCACTACCATTTGAACAGCCGATATTACCTGTATATTAAAAATTAAAATTGATTATTTTAAAGAATGTCTTTGAGGATGAATGTATTTAATTTATTCTGAAGAGTAATGCACAATCTGATCTTCTAATTTATAAAGTTATAGTTATAATATACTTATATAATATATTTCCTATAATATAATTTCCAACTTTAAGTAAATTTATACAATAATAAATCGACAATATAATAACGAAGAATATACCTGGGCAAATATAATAAGCAAATCTCCAGTGATTACAGAGTTGGCACTGATATCAGTATTTTCCATTGTTAATATATCACTAGCACCAACAAATGCTAAACCTGCTATAACAAAAGCAATGCCTGTCCATTCTCTCACTCCTAACTTCCTATTAAGAAATCCAACAGAAAATAGTCCTGTAAAAACAATTACCGAACCGCGCAACATCTGGAAGCTACTTGCATAGGTCATATTTAGACCAATATACATTATAGATGTTGCAAACATATCACATAATGCAGGTATTAATAAAATAAAGGGATTAAAAATCCTTGATCCTTTAGTGAGTACATTATTATCTACAGAGCCATCCTGTGTGAACAAATTAATATGATAAATAATATAGCTTAATTTGTTCTTAAAGAATAAAATAATCAGATACTTACACCTCGTCGGTTGTAATAAATGTAGAAAATTTTAAATGCAATGAAACAAAGAGCCTCTCCAAAGAACATAAACGATGATTGCATAAAAGGATGGTTGAAATGCCTAAGTTGTCCATCTTCGCCAAGAACCACTTGTCTATCTGCATATCTAAATCAATTTTAAATCAAATTCTAACATTGGTATAAAAATGTTTAGTTTAAACCATCCATTTCAAATTTCGATAAAAATATACTCATTTGACATTCTTTTTATTGACAAAAGATTTTTAAAACTAAAATTATCATATATGTTATTCTAAAAAGAATGAAAAAGTTATTAACTTCTTAATTTGAGAAAAACGCTTTATTATCAGAAATTTCAGTTCTAAGGGAAAAAACGATTAAATACATAAAATTTACATAAAAAATTGTATTCAGAATTGTTTGGAACAAATCCAAATCATTAACCTAATGTGGCAATTTAATCAACAGATTTTATGTAAAACTCAGGAAATTTTAAGAACATTTAATTTACAAATTAAAATGTAAATTTTGCAATTTAGTAATACAATATAAAAATCTAACGATAAGCGAAACATGATTAAATTCAAAAATAAATATTGACATAGTACTTACTTAACTGATAAAGTATTAAATGAGCCTGTTACTATTTGAAGTATAGCTAATGTACGTTGATAGTTTGTCCACACCATTGTTAATGATAATGAGAGTAATAGTGGACAACAATAGATAGTAGAAGAAACACAACCACTACACAGAACTTTAATTTACAGCACTTTAATCTCATGCAACGAGAAAATTATTACAGGTTTCTAAATATCTATTTAAAATAATAAAATTGTCTCGCTGAAACACGCGCACGATGAGTAAACTTTGTTTTGGCAAATGTTCTTCAAGAAAAAAACAGTTGACAGTATGATTGCGATACAAGTGCACCGATTAAGTAGTACAAATCATGCAAATGTGTCATTTATTTATAGGCCTCTTTTGTCACACGTGCATGCCACAATGATATAATTTTGACATTTATACAACAATGTGTCAAAAAGATACATAGACACTTATGGGCGGCAAAGTGACAAAGCCAAGAATCTGTCATTGTAGTCATATGGTTTGTTCTTTATAGCTGAACTGGCTGCACTAGTTCAGAGTTTATCTTTTTCCCTCTACATAAGAAGGAGAAAGATAAACTCTGAACTAGTGCAGCCAGTTCAGCTATAAAGAACAGACCCATTGTAGACCAAGGAGTCGTAAGCAGTCGTAAGGGTATATCCAGACAAACTTGTACAGCGCATAAGCATATGCATAATAAATTGGATTGGTCCATTTCCTTACGCATCTTCTAGCGAACCAATCCATTTCCTTGTGTAAATGTGCTTATACAAGTTGCGTGCACGTCCCCTGATTCTTTTTTTAAAAGTAGTCGAAGGGGTGGGAGGGCGACAGTTTATGCGCCATCATGCTATGTACCGCGAGAATAGCAAACTAAAAGTGATCACGTGACAAAAAGTGATTTGTATTTATATAAAATTAATATTATGTATAATTTATATTAATTTTTATTTGTTATTATTTTGTTTTATAATCAAACTATAATAATATCGAAATTTTTCGGTCAATTCAAATATTTCCAAACGCTAATATGTATATAATTGCAAAATTTACATAAATTGGTTCGACTAAGAGATAGCGTTTTAAATAGTTTTATTTTCATTTCAAACATTTCAAATTTTTAGATTTATGATTGTACAAATAATAACATGTAACAAGTGATAAACATTGTGAGAGGTATATTGTGAAAGGTAGGTAGGTAGGTAGGTAGATAGGTATGTGAAAAGTATGTAATTCAGTGATATTAGACAAAAACTTAAGCATTCATAAATATATATTTATTATTTACTATTAATTACTTTGTGATTTATATAAGAATTGTGCACGTGATTAGTAATATTGTTAACATAATTACCTAATAATAGCTTTGTTTAAATTTATGTTAGCTAATCAATCTTAAAATAAATCATGTAACACTCCAATTCCGCTGCATAAAACCTATTTACTCAAAAATGCACGTGGAATGTTAGATAAATATTTCGAACAATTTACTCATTTATATTGAATTGTACGACTATAATTATACGAGACATCTAATGTCCTCTCCTTTTATTACGAGATCTCACTTAGAATTTTCTAATTATAAATGGTTAATCAGCGTCACAATAGTTAAAATTTGAAATCAATAAATTTTTTTATAAAATAAAAACAGAATTTTTCAGCACACTACAAGTACTTGCAATTTGATTTCAAATTCGAATATCGACTTTTATTCGTAATCAATTTATTGATCGCGATGAATCGACAATTAATTTTTTTTTATACCTGAATTTATTCATCTTTAAAATAATCTTTAGGCTAAGCGATTAACGATAGAATATCAAGTATTGTACAATACATTGTTTGATGACTTTCAATTATATTGCTCGGGTAGTACGTAAGAAATATCATCCCATGGATGACGATAAAGTCCTTGCTTTAATCTTCTTTGATCCATATAATGACCTAAAAGAGAAGAGTATATTAGAGGTTGTTTTCATCGTTCTTTTATAGTGCAAATTAATCCCGTAACTGTTAAGAGATAAAAACGCTTCATTATCAAAAATTCTTCTTGTGAAAAAACCAATTGTATTTACGCAAAGATTGTACAATCTGATTTTCTTGGGACGCTAAATTCTCAAATATGCAATAAAAATTTTAAATTTGGAATCGTAAATTTAATTTGGCAATTAACAACAACATGTACAACAGACTTTGCATTAAAGAAAATTTTTCAAGGAATGGCAGAAATCTCTAATTTGATAAGATGTAAATTTGGTAATTCAAAGATAAAAACCACAGATAAAACATGATCAAATTCAAAAACATACACACTACATTTTATAAAGTTTATTTAGTGCTTTCTAAAAATAATATTCTTTTAAATTTCAATATTTTGTTAGATTCGAAATTAAAGACTTATTCGACGATTCATAATAAAAATCCATTAAATTTTATGAGAACAAAATAACTTTTTAAATTTATAGAACCGTCTGCTTATTAAAGCTGCTATTGGAATTGGAAAACTTTGACCAGAGATTCATATTCAATGATTCTCAACGATCAAGAACCTACAGAAGTGCTTTGCGTAAGTCCTATTGGCAAAATACTTTTTTTTTAAATACCATATATGTACATATCATTAACACTGGAAAAATTAATATATTGAAAATTATGTAATATATAAATGTATAATGCATAGCCGTACCGATAAATCCTATACTTCGGCCAAGGACAAATAGGCTATTTATGGCTCCTATTTCAATATATTCTTGCGCCTCTTCTCTTGTAAAACTACCACTCTTCCGTAGCATGTCAACGAAAGCGCAAGCGATAATACCGTCCACATTAAGAATTAAATTGGGTTTTTTACTAGTCGTTATTTTCTCAACTTCCAAGGCATACTCGACTAAAGGCTTTGCTGGAAAATTCTCTAGTACGAATTCCTTGATAAGCTTGACTCGCATATCAGGATTATTGATCGATTTAACACGATGACCAATACCCATAATCAGTTTGCCTTTCTTACGCGTGTTATTTACGAATTCTTGCGGATGTAAACCGGCATCGTACGCCTCAGAAAACATGCGAGCTGCACCGTCTAAGGCACCACCAAAGCGATCGCCCTGTGCAGATAAGTGTAATAAATAATTGAAAAGTGGATATTTTATGACATATCTCACATCTCACACAAACAATTATCATAATAAAATGGAAAATATCTCAGAAAAAAAATTTTATATATACATATATATAATTGTTTCTTCACTAAGCTGTTACTATTTACTCACAATTGTCAAAAGTCCCGAAACAAGAGAGCTGACCAAATCCTTTCCAGCACGTGCGCAAACGATGGTGTTGTGAGCTCCGGAAACAGCTGGACCATGATCAGCTGTCAACATCAATGACATCTCAAGGAATTTACAATATGTTGCAGGTAAGCAACGTTGGAACCACAAAAGCGAGACGACACCACCGATGCCCACGTTTTGTTTCAGAACCTCAGTTACGGGCATACCAGCGTACAATAATTCTTGTCCGCGTTCATCGCAAATCGATGTCATAAATGATGCTGGTTTACGTATTAAACCAAGTTCCTATTTATGTCAAACAAAACAAAGTATATATAAATATATATATATATATATATATATATATATATATATATATATATATATAATTTATATATATATACATACACATACACACACATAATGATTCAGTTTTCAACTATATTAGAAAATTGCAGTTACACGCACAAAAGAACGACTAAAACGCACACTTTGTTATACAACACACAAATGTTAAAGTATATCTAATTTTTTTCTCCAAATTTTTTTACTTGATAGTATTGAAGTTGTTTGTAAAAATTATAGATTTAAATATAATAAAAAAAATGAAAGAAATATTTAACCCTCTTTAGCCAAATTTAAAAAAAGTAACAAAGATTTAAATTTTAAAATGGAAGAAAAATGGAGCGTCCATAATTGTAATGTAAAATAATAAAAATAAAAAAATAAAAAACTTACTCTAGCCCAATTATAATCCATCGGCACCGTCGGCGGTGGAACTTCAGGTTCTGGCATTATTGTACCATCTTTTACCAGCTGTTCGTAAACGGTTTGTATGAGATCCCCGAGATTATCAAAGCTATCTGGAACATACCCACCAGCGGCCTTCAATGCCGCATTTTTTGCAGAGGCCGTTTCAAGATTGGAATGTGCAATGGACCCAGCATGGCCAAATTGCACTTCGGAATTGAACATACTGGCACAAGTACCGATGCACCAAGCTACCAAAGGCTTCGTAATCTTGCCTGTTTTTAATGCTTCGCATACTTCATACTCTTCGACGCCACCGACTTCACCAAGTAATATAATCAGTTTTGCATCTGGATTATTTTGATAACGCATTATGTGATCCATAAAAGTGGTTCCTGGGTATCGATCTCCACCAATAGCAACACCCTCTAACACGCCGTTAGAAGCTTTAGAGATTATATTATTCAATTCGTTCGACATGCCACCGGAACGAGAAACATAAGCAACGCTAAAAATAATGTTCTTTGTTAATATTAAAGATGTTGATATTGTTATCGTTAATCAATCTTTGTGCACAAATTTCATTGCATGGATTTGTTGTTCAACCTTTTGCATACAAAACAATCACACAAATTGTTTCTTTTTTAATATTGTAAATTTATCAAAATCGTTATTTTTGATATATTTTCTTTGATTTTGATCCAAATTCTGTACGTGTACGTACTTTTTTATATCAAATTTATATTCAGCGTACAAAAGATGAAAAACTATAATTTTCTTCTAAACAAAAAGAATTTTAAAGGTCAGTGTTTATCATTCAAAGATATGCTACATTACCTGCCAGGTCTATACAATTTGCTATGCAGTATGTTATCCATCATTCCACCTGTATTACCAATTTTAAAGCAGCCCGGCTTCACACCTCCCACAGTTGCCGGTCCGATTATGGTAACATTCCTTTGTTGCGCCGAAAGAATCAATTTTCTAGTCATATTTTCCGGTATACCTTCTGCGATTATAGCAATTGTCCTAATTTGTGGAAATTGGAGTGTTTCCATGGTACTTTCATAAGCGGATCTTAAAGAGGCAAACGTGACCATTACATCTGCGTCAGCATGCTTGGCCATAGCATCTTTCATTTGTTTATAAACAGGAATAAGAACCTATTTAAAAAAGACAGAAATAAAATATAATGAGATCACGAGAACAATACAAGTTTAATATCCAAAGAGCTATGTTTCTCTCTAGCTTTTTTATGTAATAAATGAAAAATATATATATATATATATTTTTGCTCATTGTTAAAATATG